CGAAATACATGTCGCGTTTTTTGTAAAATTCATTGTAGTGAAAATCTCATAGTACACAGTAGTGGTAAGTTTCTACAAATGAATCGAATACTGTCTGTAGCTCAATTCATGGAAATACCATTTTTAGAAGATGATAGACGTTGAAAAGTTGAACAATTTCTTTTATAGATGGATAGTTTGTCATGAGAGTTTTCAAGAAACTTCAATGCAGAATATCATATGCAGAACTGATAGTGATGGAAAAAAATGTTCATTCTTCTCTTTTGTTTCAGAATGACTGATGTAAGATGAGTAACAAACAAAGTGAAGTCCGCACGTTTGAGAACAATGATATATGGTCGTTATTTGATAAATGGCATGTACATTTCACAAAGCTGATATAGAAAGAGGTTGAATCCGTTTCAGGCAATTTCCTGAAGTAAATGGAGTTTAGGTATTACTCCATGCATGAAAATATAAGTGCAGGTCATTTATACATGAGTGAATTCAATATTGTCAATTTTAGGAAACATATACATAGTCTTGGTCTATATATTTTATATAATCGAGATAACTGATTCATTTCATACTGTGGCTCAAAAATATTTTCTTCCACAACCTGAAAAATAAATTTTCTTATTAGTCAGTGGGCTATGCTTGAAGACTGGCAGTAAACAAATCTAAAGCAAATGGAACTTCAAACGTTCAAGCCAGTCTCTATATACCTGCACAGTAGGTTTAATGGACTGACGCCTATCAGAAAACAACTACTCTCCTGGCTAATACCACGAAGGGCGTTGGATTATATCCGACAGGCGTTAGTGCAGGAATCTTCACAGAAAATTTCCTGCATATGTAATTGGCAATACAACTGAAAGAGTCGACCTTCATTTATGAAACGGGTACACTTGCAGACCGGTTTCGGGCTTATTAGCCACTCATCAGTGCAAGATAGTGACCATCATCGACCTGAAGTCAATGATATTCCACAATTGAAAATCGGAATTCTTTCAGAGTATTTCATTCCTCTTCCGAAGTTGGAGCGAACATCACAAAATGTCACTCCATCTAGTGGACGAGGTACTAACCAACTGCATATCCATATCTGCATATTCTGCATATTCAGAGGAATCGGGCAAATTACGGAAAGTGCAGGAAATTTTCTGTGAAGATTCCTGCACTTGACACCTGTCGGATATAATCCAACGCCCTTCGTGGTATTAGCCAGGGGAGTAGTTGTTTTCTGATAGGCGTCAGTCCATCAAACCTACTGTGTAGGTATATAGAGACTGGCTTGAACGTTTGAAGTTCAATTTGCTTTAGATTTGTTTACTGCCAGTCTTCAAGCATATCCCACTGACTAATAAGAAAGTTTTTCTTCCTTATTCAGACGAATCGGGCAAATTACGGGTATGCAGTTGGTTAGTACCTCGTCCACTAGATGGAGTGACATTTTGTGATGTTCGCTCCAAATTCGGAACAGGAATGAAATACTCTGAAAGAATTCCGATTTTCAATTGTGGAATATCATTGACTTTAGGTCGATGATGGTCACTATCTTGCACTGATGAGTGGCTAATAAGCCCGAAACCGGTCTGCAAGTGTGCCCGTTCCATAATTGAAGGTCGACTCTTCCAGTTGTATTGCCATTTGCATATGCAGGAAATTTTCTGTGAAGATTCCTGCACTGACGCCTGTCAGAAAAATAAATAAAGTTGAATCAATAGATAATCTGCTGAAATTTAATGAATGACCAACTGAAAAGTCCACTCCGAAAATTCACTGCGTGATTTACTGCGTTCATACTTATATGAAAAACATGAAATTTCTATACTTAGCTTTTTTCATTGGTCGACGTTTCGAAAAAAATTTTTTTTTTCGTTTTCAAAATTCACTTTTAAGACTTTCGCCTCAGTTGTAAATTGCGGTATTTTTTTTGACATACATCGAAAGAAAGCTATACTACGAAAGTATGAAAATTAATTTTATTCTATTGGTTTTTTCAATTTGTATGCAAAATTTATGAATAGAGAGATCATTAACTGATTAAACTCTTCTGTGGTTTAAATTACGCAGTAACTTTTCGAAAACATATTTTCAGTATGCCCTTCCAGCAGATTTTCTATTGCTTCAACTTTGTTCATTTTCCATATTCAAATGAAAAACAGTGAGAAATATCGAGGCCCCCACAAAAAATATTTCAAAGAATAATTGAAAATATAGAAACTTCTAGTCTATTTTCAGGAGGTGTACCTACGGTAATTTCTCAAAACGCATAATTCCAGTGGCGTACTAACTTTTCATACAGTAATAAATAAAAAATTATCGTTTAAGAGTGGTTTTGTTTTTCCCAAGTATACTGCTGGTGAAAAGTTATTCCATATATTTCGACCCCTAATTAGAGAGAAATGTAGATATTAGTTATGCTTGATTGATGAATACTTTTTTTTGGTGTCATCGTCATCGACTACATTGATCATTAGCCTCGTGTCTCAGGTAGACAATATTATTAACACTCTGAGTCACCTAGAGAGCATCATGGCTATTTGCAGTCCGTCAGCCATGTAACGTTGCAAAATCATCCCAGCTTCAACTAGATACATTCTCTCGAGGAAAATATCTGGTCGAGGTTGGACTCGAACTCACGTCCTTCTGGTTGTGAATCGGGCGCACTACCACTGAGCCAATTCACCACTGCTTTTCATTGTTATTTCTCTATAATTCTTTCAGAACTGTTTTTGAACCAATTTTGAAGATAAGAGGTTATAATCTAATGTATATTTATCAGTTCTCTAACAACCGTGAATATACAACAAGGTATTGTTACGTTTTTTCCCGTGGTTTCACCAATAATTGAGTACACTGAATATTCAAACTTAACTTCATTTCTCTTTAGATACAACAAATACTACAACTTAAAATTCAACTATTATTTTATTGTTTATTGCCTTACTGGATCACTTCGCGTACCGTACTGTAACGTCCACTTGACTATCTTGATTTTCTCGTGGCCAGCCTTTAAATATCGTAATCGATTGTTGTAGAAATTTCGCCGAAGTTCTGTCAAAGTCGGTAACATTATTCTCGCTGCTTCTCGAGTGGCGCGCTCTTTGCTACGTCACGTTAGGTTTATGGTTACCAGTTGCGGTCGGCGTTATTTTTATTTTGGGGATGATTCACAACAGTATATTTGTGAACTTAGCTGAAAGAGTTGGGGTAATGAGCCTTTTATTGCTGTCTGTCTTTATATGTACACACCAATACCCTAATTGAATGGATTTCCTGACATGTTTGATTGGAAAGTTTGATAAAGTGGGTACTGTGGAAATTTGAATATGGAGAGAATTTATTGACGAATTGTAAAAAGCCGCCACCTGATGCTTTTTCTACAATTGAAAAGAGACTACCAAATTGTTATGAACGTCAAATACTAGAAACGTCAGTGCGTATATAGATGATACTGTGGAAATTTGTGCTATCATGCTAGATGTTCACAAAATGAGAGAAGAGTGCAAACAAGGGGCAATAAAACCACCAATGTCGACTAACATTGAATATTATCCAAAACCTGAAGTAGGAAATGAGAAATCACTAACAATAGACAAAATTTGTGCAGTTGTACAAGAAGATATGTCATGAAAAAAATACAGCAGAACATTTATCTCATCAAAACGAAATAATATTGTGTCGTGGAGGAGAACATACGGATTATCCGGAGAGCTGTGAAAAAAAAGTATGTTATTTGAAAGGACTCCTTTGAATGGAAGACATACGATGGCAAAATGCTAGCAAGTTGTAAACATTGGAAGTTAGCGGTAGGCACATCAGAAAATATGGTCAACTGTTATTAGAAGAAAAAAAAATTGCTATAAGAAGAGTGAAGACTTGCCTGCCGTCGACTTCGCAAATGCTAGATTTGATTCCAAGAGAGTCTCTCATTGTAATAATGGACAAGTAGTCGGACCAAAACGTATGAACGTTTCAGATAAGTCAGTGATAAAAATTCGTGGATTTAGCCAATATACTCGAACATAAGTTTGGAAAATATGTGATCGATGATCTTGCAGATTAGCAGGGCATAAAATTAAAGCGATTTTCTCCTAATTATTGGGAAATGAATCCTATAGAGCTAGAGGGGGCAAATGTAGCAATGATGATGTCTCTCAAAAAAAAATAATATAACGTTTGGATTGGATGATGTTCAAGAAAAATTTTAAAATGTTTCAAAGCATATGATTAAAGCCGTGCAAGATAGTGGCCCTCATCAACGTAAAGTTGATGATATTCCATCATTAAAAATCGAATTCCTTTCAGAGTATTATTCCTCTAACCAAGCTGAAGCTAACGAAAATCCATTAACCTACAGTGTAGGTGAGTCGAGACTGGCCTGAATAAATTGTTCCTTTAGTTAATTTGAATTACAGCCAGTCTTCCAGTATGCCCACTGAATATATGTGAAAAAATATTTATTTTTACGAAAGAAATAATACTTTCAAAATAAATGCTTCCATATTAACATTATATGAAAATCACTTTTGTTTGAATCGGAAAAAGAGAAAGTCAAAAACGGTGTTTACTGTATTGATAAAACGGAAAATTGAAAACTGTAGTTAGTGCCATGCAGAAAATACTGTCATAACCTGATCTGTTTGAACTCATTTACATTCAGTGAAGATACATTTTCAGTTCCCTTATCAGTATATTGACTTTCTGTTTCCTGAAACCAATATGAATTTCTCAAATGGCAATGTCTTACTCGTAGTTTTATCTAACATTCTCTGTATCCATTCGATGAAATATGATACTGGTATTGTTTGCTAGAACGCTTCTGGGTTTCGTTCATCGATTTCTATGCTACTGTAAAGAAGTTCTGGAGTCGCAGAGAATCGTTTCATTCTCGTCATTTCAGATAGCTCACTTGCAGTTACGAATGAATATTACAATTTATTGTATGAATAATATATTTATTGTATAATAATAACAGTCTATTGTTGAAATTTGACCCATTTTGATGGTTGCAGGGAACTGAATGAATTAAGGAAACCGTCTTCTGATAATCCTGATATACTTCGATTTTTCCGTTACATGAAAGCAGCCAAAGATGGTCAGGATGATGAAGAATGTCGGGCCCATGGAGGATGTCCGTCGCTGTCTGCAGATAAACCTAGTCCAGCAATGCTCACTACTTTTAATGATATCAATAAGTTAGTTTTAGCTAGAAAATTGAAGTGAAGAAATTGATTATTTGTCATTAGAATAGTATGTCTTCCATTATTTCCTACTCTTATTTATCATAGTCAGATCATGATCATTAAATCAAATCACTAAGACGAAAGCAAAAAGGAATGAATTCAACATTCTCGTAATGAATAAAAAAGATAGTTGGAATTTTTGGCTTTCACGGCTGGCGTCAATGTTCTGGTTGGTTTCTGGGTTTTGCCGTGGTCTCCTTGGTTACAATCTCCAATTTTCGACCACGCCACTGAAGATAACTGTCACAGTTGCAATTGAAACTTTTGAAGAATGTTATCAAAGAAGAACACAAGAAAACCCGGAAACCAACCAAAACAGTGGGGTTATTGCTAAATTCAAAGTTGGACCTATGGTCCAACTGATATGGATTATGTAACTCATTTCTTACTCAGTTGATTCACAAGTTTAACGAAAGAATTGTTCGAGTATTTGTCAAACTGTATGTCTATACGGTCATAGAAATAAACCATTCAGTCTTGATTACAAATTTCATATATCTCAAATATTTTCAATTCATTTTTCTTCACGATAAATCATTTTATTTATTTATTTATTTATTTATTGTCCTATTTCAAATTCATATATTTATTGATCTGCTCATGCCTTCATGTCTCAATGTAGATAAAAAATAAACGTATTCAATGCACTGATTGAAATTTCCTTAGTGTTTCTGATTTTCTTGGCAAAAAATGAAATGATAAAGTCATCCTGCGAATTTTCACCTTCTTTTATACTCATCAGTTCAGTGTTTTTCCTATCATTTGCCCATTCTTACTTTATGAAACAGTTAATTTTCAACAAATCACTGTTGGAATGAGATTTCTGAGAATAGAATATCGAGAAAAACTGAATAAATTAGAATATTGACAATAAATCTAGAAGAAAGGAGCTGGAAACCAAATAGACAGAATATAACCTGTGATGAAGGATCGTATGCAAGGGGATGAAGGGGGAAAATGCCTTTTCGTCAGAAGAAGGATGAAAACTAAAATTGACTTGAATGACATATTTTTAAAATCATTCTCCTGAAACCTAGATTATTTTCAACAGACAAAATGAAAAACAAAAAAAAACAATAATACAATTATTCTACAAAACCAAACATAAATTTGAAAAAATAGGTCATTCGAATGGAAGACGTTATATAAGTTATATAAGTGTAACTCTAACTACACTTTTTGTATGATTTGATGTTCATATAGAAGTTGTTTAGAAAGTTTTTTTCGTGTATTTCAATGACTATATGAAAGAAGTTGTGTCAAGAGGATTTATTCTCATTCTTGATCGATGAAATCGTCTGCCATCCTGATTTTCCACTCCGTCGTATTTCTATTTTACATTTCAAAAAAGCTGGCAATTTCATAGGTATTTGTGAAAATAGAAAAGTTTGCAGCATATTTTAGGAAAAGTGCTTGTGATGTTACAATTTCCAATCAGGTCAATGAATAGCTATCTTCTGAATGAAATTAGTAGCCTCTACATCTAAAAAAGTCAGTATTTTCCTCTCAAAATTACTCATAAGACGATAAATCTTGCGACAAGATTCAATATTATACGAATTGTGTAATATTGTGAATTGATGGGTATGATATAACTTCAAAAAAAAAGCCATCCATCTAATTGGAGACGCGAACATCACTTGCAACCTTCCCCGTCCGGAACATCGAAGAATGGTTGGAGATTTGTCTCTCTTCTACAGATACTTTCACAGGAAGTGTTCAAGTAAATCGGTACATTAGATTCCACCAAGAGCGGTAATATCAGAAATACGCGAGGAACTGTGACTGCTCACCGTTTTGAATTTCATCTCAGTGAACCTCGAACTTCACCGTTTGAGAACTACTTTATTTGGAGAATTGCGTTTACGTGGAATAAACTTCTTGAGAACGTTTTTCCGAATTGATTTAATTTCCAGCGATTCAAATCCGATCTGAATCGCTACTTTCGCACAGGTGCCGCACAGAGCGACTCAAGGATTTTTTGTGGTGCTTGTGTTTTGTCCTTAGGGAGAAAAGGTTTTTCAATATCATTTTATTCAATGCATCATTGTTGTATTGTCAGTGAATACAACATCTATTCAAACACTACCATTCCATTATCTTGAATGTTTTTCCCTTGAACTCATTCATTCGATTCCATATCATGGGGGTGTATGAATGAGTAGATCACCGTCTCTTGTAGTCCGTCAAATTGTTATATTAGGAGTTTTGCAGACCCTTCCATTCGATACCTATTCTACGGAGATATAAAAAAATACTGGTACGTTTTCTTGGGCAATCAACCATGTTGATAGCATCGTGTTATTTTTCGTATTCCCTTCAACTTACCCTTTCATTTGAAACCTGAATCATGAGGTCCGTCATCCTGGACTGTCTACCAGGTTGAATATAGAATTGCATCTCTAGGCCAGCAATGCATTGTCATCCAAATTGTATGCAACGAGTATGCAGATTTTCAGCTCAACCGATTGAGGATAACTGATTTACAATCCAAACGGACTATATTAGCTCGCTACAAGGAAAATCTTTCGCATGTACGGTTTCATAAACCGGAGAAATCTAATGTCGCTCAACGTATCATAGATAGCGACCACAGATAAGTGATAATTGTTTAAAATTGTTGAGACCAGTGTATGACAATAGGTTTTTGGATGCCTTCGAATGTTTGGAAATCGAAAAGTGTGGAATGAGTTCTATGAATAGCGACAAAGGTACTATTTCGAACAGCCCTTTGTTTGGTCTAATATTATGTAATAATTCTAAATAATGAACAGATGAATATTGAATAAAAATGAAGTTTTTTTATAACACAGTGGTAATTTTTTTATTGAAACTATCTATAATTGTACTCATATAACTTTCGAGTTCCTTCCTCAGTTTTTTTATAACACAAAACCATTATTTCAACATCTTGATACGTATTTTGATCACCGAGTGGTCATCTTCAAGAGGAAGATTAAACTATATATACATTAATTGAAGGGGTTATATTTTCTAGGAGTGATTAATTTTTGGGAAAGAAAGTTTTTGGCTTTCTACTACTCCATCTTGATACAATGTTATCGTCATTTATACCATAGATACCTCTACTAGGTACCTGCGTCTTAATTGTCTGAAATTAATTTTACAACGTTGCCTTATCAACTAGTTTCAAATGAATCTTATGATTAAATGAATCTATAACAATGTGGCCTTATTTTATAGTCAGGTAAATCTGATGACTGAAATAACGACAGCGAAGCAAAATATTATGGACTGACTGAGAGAAATAAGATATAAAAAACACTTAGCACATCTTAAATATGAAAGACCAGAAAAATCAGCAGTCGCCCATCATATTTTGCAACAAAAATATTCCATAGACTTTTGTTCATTAAGATTAGTTAGACAGGTTAACAGCAACAGGCGTCTAGATGTCTACGAGGGTGTAGAAATAGGAAAACATACTAATATTATGAATAACGATGGTGGACCAATATCTAATAGTATACTATATAGCTTGTTAAAATAAAATTTCATTATCAGATTCACCTGACCAGTAGTTAAGGCAACATTTTAATGTTAATTTAAGACAATTAAGACTCAGGTACCTAGCAGAGATATCTATGGTATAAATAGGGGTAATATCGGATGTAAATTTAGTTCAATCTTCCTTCTGAAGATGATCACTTGGTGAACGAAATACGTGTCGAACTGTTAAAATAACAGTTTGGAGTTGACATGAAACTCCAGTAATATACATTACTACTCCAAAGGTTCCAAATAGTGCATCACAAGATAAATATTCGGAAAAAATGTAGGGGATAGTTACTAACATAGAGAAAATACATAACAAATTAGAGGAATTGGAAAAACAGGTAGCATAGGAACAATAAGAGGTAGTAGTTAGGTAATACTGACCGGTAGCAGTTGAGTACTACTAACAGGTAGTAGTTGAGCCACTAGCATATAAAAACACTAACATAGTTGTAAAATTCAGTCATAATGATCTCCTGAGTATGTTAACTTGGTTAGCAAACGCGCGTCAAAGACCGTAATTTTTTTCTGGTGTTGGAAAAGTGTTTTCAATAGATTCGCAATTCATTTGCAATAGTTGACCAGAAATCACATACATTCATACAGACATAAATATATGCATACGTACACAGCAATAATGAAGTCTTGTCAAAAATGAGTTTTGAAAATCCTCAAAGGTTCCTGAGTTGTAGACAACCTTCTAGTTAATTTTCAAGTTAACGCAAGATTTGAATGGGCACATGTTTCATACCGTTCTTCAAAAAATGAGTATTAGAGAGCAGACCTCGAAAGGGGCCAATTTTTGTCGACCGTTCAAATCGTGAGGCACCATTTTCCTCGAGGTTTTTGACCTTTCCAATACGTTATGAACCATTTGTTCTCCAATCCTCGTCCCGGATTTTCGTAGGTCGACCACTCCAGGGCTTAACTTCGAGGCGAAAATCTCCGGAAAAAATTTCGCAATGTACAGAGTTAGGAATTCTCTACTTCATGATTATGCGGAAGCTATGAATTGTTTTTTCACAAAACCGGACGTCTTACGTGAGTGTAATCGAATAAAATATTGAGCAAAACCTTGACATTTGATCAAACTTGGCGTGCTATTTTTTGGATCTCCTGGATTCTTCCATTGGGATGATGGGACTTTGGTTTCGATGTCATAACCATTTACACATGATTCATCACCAGTTTAGAAGTAAATCTGAATCGCTGTTGATGTCACTCAACAATTCCTGAGCGATACTCATGCGACGGTATTTTAGTCAAGATTCAGCAATTTTGGAACGAACTTCATTGAGACGCGCTTTATGTCCAACATTTTTAAAAAAATTGCATGACATGAGCCAACTGATATGGCGATATCCTCAGCATCTCCTCTAATAGTGATTCGACGATTCTCCATGACAGTTTTCTCCACTTTCTCAACATTTTCATCAGTTGTTGATGTGCTGGACGTCCAGGGCGAACATCGTTAATCACACCTTCTCGACCTTCTGTGAAAAACTTGTACCACTTGTGACTCAGAGTACAATCTCCTTATGCCACCGTCAATATTTCAAGTGTTTTTGCGCACTCAGATCCCATTTTTTCGAAAGTAGGAAATCACCGAACTAACAAACTAAAGACGCTAAAAAGCTGAAACTGTGAACATTCAAAATGAGTTTCTCAGACTGAAAAAAATTAAACAAATATCCAATGGAATGTACATACCGCGTGAAAATTGATCATTCACCCCATTTTTTTTAACATACCTCGTATCTAGCAGCTGACTGGATGACTAGAACGCACCACTCATGGTTATCGACCGAAAATATATAATAGAATTTACAACATACTATTTCGTTTATGATATTAAGATTAGGAAACATAAAAAAAGAAACCATAATCAATAAAAGACTTCAATATACTGGTGGATTTCATGAGGCGTGTTAAAAGCATTACTTACATCTTCATTTTCTCAAATTATCTAAGAACAATTCGTTCAGGCCAGTCTCAACTCCCTACACA